CCCCCAATTCCCCATCGCTGTTTCCATCCCCCCAATTCCCCAATAAAAAAAAATCTAAAAAAAAAATAAAAATTGTAAAATATAATTTGAGATCATATTAACAATCTATCAAAAAAAGGGTAATTGTGAAGATTTTGTAGCAGTATGAAAAAAAAAAAAAAAGGAAATAGTCTCATAATGACTATAAAGAACCCAAAGGTTGTTGATAGACTGAAAATATGTATTTTACTTGAGTAAAGACCAGAATAGAGCTTGGCAAAATAAAAACTGTTCAATTTAGATAGTAAAAGAACCTTTACTTTTTCCTTTTATATTTCTTTTAATGTGCTCTAATAGTATATTTTCCCCGATGTTTAAGACTTGAGCACCCACCAGGACAAAACAAATCACCTCACCCTGATGATAGCTTTAGGAGTTTCCCAGTCTCCACGTGCACCAAACAGATGGCAGATGTTCCCATTTGTAATTTCACTCTATTGACCCTAATGCTTAAATTCAGAAAAGAAGCATACCTTACAGGTGGTATACAAGGCACAGTATGTCTGCCCTTCACTTTCTCTGGAGAACACTCATTCGTTTCAGAAGTATCTTGAAGAGCACTGCCTTCTTCCTCTTCTGGCTTTTTTTTGTTAGAACTTGAGTTCAAAAAGACAAAAAAGGATCCCTTTAATTCCCTAAAGCATACCCCACTCTACTCTCCTCCCCAAATGTACCACATATATGTGGCTTAAATTTTCTCATTCTTGAGGACAACAAGCATGCTTCAACTGCAAGATTCTTCCAATAGTATCATCAGATCACTTATAGCAATCAATAGCTACAACGGGTAAACTTTGAAAACACCGACAGAAGTCAAGGTATTAGTTGTATGGTGATGATTCAGGAGGGTAGGAGGAATTCCAACTGCTCATCATCAAATGCACAAATTGCAGATTGCTAGTTGCCTTCCCAATATCTATTGCATCTTATTTCTTACTAATAGAACTCCAACTTTGTTTGGGGCAACAATGTACAAAGGCAAAAGTGTTGTACTTGCATCAACAGCCTCTATTGCAAATCAGAGGGATCTGTGACACAGTTGGGCAACTGAGGGAAAAAAAGGGTTTCTGGAAAATATTTCACTTTTGTGATATGGATGCTGCCCCCTTCTTCTTCCTTTGCCTCCTTCTTCTCTTGAACATGGATATGATACCTACAGATATAGCAGCTATCATGTGATAATGAGGCAACAAGCAGAAGGAAGAAGCTAAGAAACAGAGAGGAGCCATCTTGAGCAAAAAGTATGAAACAAAAGCTAAAACTCACAGAGACGCTACCCTAGCACTGTTCGCTCGCTGAACCAAAGCCAGCAGCAAACTTCTGTGAAGCAAATAAATAACTATTCTGTAAACCACTCTAGCTGAATAGACTATTACTTATAGCGAAATACATTCTAACTGATAAAAATAAGAAAAAGTACCATATATTCTGCTTGCTATTAACCATAGGAACAGACGGGTAAAACCTATGCCAACGGACAAAGTTGTGGCTACTTACACTTTCATTCTTTTGGACGGTGGAATTTCATTGATGATTACAGGAGTAGCACATCTCTTGGCTTTCGTTTGTATTTGGTGTTTTTCGTTCTGTGCCAAATTCTTCCGAGCAGAGAGTCTAACAGATCTTCAATGGTAGAGGAATTGACAAGATTTATCTAAAATAAATTTATCTACTACAGATATGCAAATATTCTTCAAAAATATGAAAGTATGTAAACTACAAAGGGCTATAAAAAGTTTAGTGGTATTATTTCCACTCTAAAAATCTAATCTCTTGTCTGATTGTTTTTGAAATTTCATCACAAAATGTTGTTCCTTAGATACATTGGTGTTTGTAAACTAGATCTCAATAAAGATAATTTTTTTTTTTTGAAAGCATTGGCAATTACCGAGTAGAATGCCTTCCTCTTTCAGGTAAGGATAAAAGTTTAAAAAGGCGAGGTGACTTGATCAACCCTGTTACATAGCTAATTGCTGTCACAATGAAATTAGAGATCAGCTCTCCTGGAAACTGACTATAGTATTTATTTTCTCATTTTTCTTTTAGTCATGCCCCCCCCATTTTTGTTAAAATATAACAAACATCAAAAAGTGCACAAAACAAAACTTAAATAATTACAAAGTGAAGACTCATGTAATCACCCCCGAGGCTAAAAAAACACAACACTGGCAGCAGCTGCTATCTTGACTTGTCTAACAGCAATCATTACTTTTTCTTTATCATTTTACCATATAAGCATGCATTCTATAAACATGGTACATTAGTTAGGAAACAAACAAACCAAAAACAAAAACCTTTATATAATGTAATAAGACTGCTGCAAGTATTTTTTTGTCTAGTTTATTTCACTCAAAATTATGTTTGTGAGATTCAACCACATTGATTCATGTAGCTTTAATTCACTGTTTTCAATGCTGTATAGCATTCATCGTAGGAATATACCGCTATTTATACAGTCTACTGTTGATTGTCATGTGTCTCTTTGTGCACGTGTACACATGTTGCTATTGGGTATATTAAGTCATAAGATTGCTAGGTCATAGGCCATTGGTTAAAACAACTAAAGTTGTTTTCCAAAGTGCCTGTACCATTTATGCTTACACTGGCAAATATATAAGAGTTGCATTGCTCTACATCCTCCTGAACACAAGATATTATCAGGTGATTTAATTTTAACCTTATTAGTTGGTATGTAGTAGAATGTCACTGTGGTTTTAATTTGCTTTTCACTGATTACCAGTGAGGCTGAGCAACTTTTCACATGTTTATTGGCCATTTGGCTATCCTCTTTAATAAAGTGCTACTTCAGGTCTCTTGCTTTCTTTCTATTGGTTGTCAATCCTTTCCTAATTGATTAGTAGGGATTGTTTATATACATACTATAAATATGAGCCCTTTGTAGGTTTTATCTGTTACAAATATCTTTTCCCACTATGGGGGTTGGTTTTTTACTCTCGTTATAGTATCATTTGATTAGATAAAGATACTCAGACACATCAACCCCCTCCCTATTATGGTTAGTGCTTTTCTGTGTGTACCATATTGAAAAAATCTTTCCCTTTTCCAATGTCATAATATTCTCCTATATTTCCTTATATAAGCTTTAGCTTTCACATTTAGATCTACATAACATTTAGATCTGCAATCTACCTAGAACTGACTGTTTTATATGGAGGGAGGTAGTGGCCAATTTTCATTTTGTTCTTTTTGAATATCCTTTGTCGAAGCATTGTTTAATGAAAGGAGGGGGGAAAAAAAACACCCTTTCCCTATAGGTCTACAGTACCACATTTGTCATACATCGTGTCCATATATGAGAAAATGAATTTTCTATATGATTCCACTGGCCTCACTAATCCTTGGGTAAAACTACAAAGCTTTAATTACTATAGCTCTATAATATGTATTGCTATCTACTAATGCTTCAAAAGTATCTTGGCTATTCTTGGACCTTGGCATTTCTGTACAAATTTTAGCATCAACTTATCATTGTGCAAAATGAAAACCACTGGGATTTTTATAGGTATTGTGCTGAATCTATAGATCAATTAGGGATAACTGATATCTTTAAGATATTGAGTCTCCCAATCCATGAACATGGTATATCCTACAATTTATTAGGATGTTGTTTAATTTCTCTCAAAACTTTTTGTGTACAAGTCCTAAACACTGTAAGATATTATTATATATTCAAAATTTTATGTTATTACATAGAGTACCTAATTTTAAAATTTATTATGGAGAATTACAAGCATAATTTTAAAATGAAGAGAATAAAATGGCCTGCTAGGTACTTGTCATCCAGCTTCAGAAAACTATCAACTCATGGTCAATCATACATCAATTTTCCCTCCATCTATAACTCCTATAGATTTTGAAGCGAATCCTCCCAAATTTCATGTCTTTCATCTTAAAATATTTTCATACTAATCTCTAAAAAATACATGGAATAATGAAGAGTGAATTTATCAGGCAAATCTACCTGCATATCTTTACAAAATGTAGAGAAAATACAAAAATCCAACTATCTAAAGGCACTGGAAAGTGACCAAAAGCAGGCGGAAAACAGAGGAACATTTATCCATGAAAAACAGCAAATGCAAAGGGCAAGAATTATTAGTTAGTAGCTTTTTTTGCCTGAGGATGCTCCCCAAACATCAGAAAACTCCAGTCTCATTGGCTACAGATAACAGAAGATAGAACTCAATGCTAATACAGCAGCTGGAAAAATCCTGCAAGTGAAAGAGCCACAGGAAATGTGTCACTCAAAATCTGAGCAAAACTTTGCACAAATTCCTGTTTGACTGCTAAACTATGCATGTTTTGGGGAGACCCAGGAGGCCCAGTGAAACAGCAAGCTGGTGAGGTGTCCATCCTTAAAAGACGTAACTGCATCAGACTGGTAAGTTTGCAGCTTTTTTTATTAAGTGCATTCTGCAATGTGTATATAGTAGGACTGCACAAAGCCAAAGTCTTACTAGCATGAGGTGTCAAAAGACAAACATCGGGGCTGGAAGAACAACTGGAAATTTAGAGGCAAATCTCCATACATAGGGAGCATTTGAGATCTTGCTCCCTGCCATATGTCATCAGTTTGGCTCAAATAAATTCTTAATAAAATTAAGGAAAAAGGAAAAAAAAAAAACTCCACATGCAAGAGAACCACAGAGAGGATGAACACTTAAACCTGAGTATAAGCTCTAGTCAAAATCTTGGCTGACCACTGACTTTTGCAGGCACAGGGGACACTCCAGGGAGCCAGACTAAAAAAGCAACAGCTATATAAGAATGGCCAGTAATTACATGAAAATGTGATTGACATCATTAGTCATCAGAAAATGCAAATTAATAACACAATGAAATACCATTAAAAAGACACAACACCAAGTGTTGGCTAGGATGTGGAGCAACTAAAACTCTCATATATTGCTAGTGGGAATGTAAAATAGTATAGCTATTTTGGAAAACTTTCTGGCTGTTTCTTATAAACATACACTTAATAGTAAGAGAGAAACACATGTCCCGGCGAAGACCTATTAGTAACTACTCATAGCAGCCGTATTCACAATAGCTCAAACTGCAAACAACTCAAATGTCCATCAACTGGTAAATGGATAAATTGTACTATATCCATTCAATAAAATTTATTATCAGAAATAAAAAGGAACAAAATACTAATACATGCAATGATGTGGGTGAATCTCAAAAGCACATGCTAAGTGAAAGAAGTCAGATATAAAAGAATACATATTATACAATTCCATTTATAAAAATATCTATAACAGGCTAAATTAATCTATGGTGACAGAATCAGAACAGTGGTTGCTTCTGGGTGGGAGGTGGGAGAGTATAAAGGTAGAACAAGCAGTAAAGATTGACTATAAAGGGGCATAGGTGAGTGTTGTGGTTACATGGTGGTATATATTTGTCAAAACTAATCAGACTGTACACTCAAGATATGTACATTTTACTATATGCAAATTATGCCCCAATAAAATAAGTTAATTTTAAAAAACAGACTAGGAATCATAAAAATTAGAAAGAAAGAACATAAAGACATGACCATTTTGGATCATTACTTAAATTTAATATACAATGAGGTTATAAAATGAAAAGAAGAATTGTTGGGTGCCTTTAGGGATAAATGGCTAAGGGATGAGATTCCAAAAAATTAAAACTTAGACTTGTGGTAAAATAACAGCTCCATGGAAAAATTATTATTACAGACTACAGCCTTGTTGACGCTTTCCTTTGTCAAAGGAGTTTTGGTCACTTATAGCCTATCCATCAAAACCATGTGAAAATAAAATAGAGAATTTGTATGATTGTCTACACCATCCTATTCCATCTCCCGTTTCCTTTCTAGATTAGGCATCTCTGGACTAAGATAAATCTGAGATCTGAGATAAACGGCACTGATGTTTTACCTCTTAGTATGCATTTTCATAGCACAGTATCATTTACATATTATCTTATTTGGCCCTTTCTTACAGTTAGCCTGAGAGATATAATTATTCTCAGTAAACTGAGGTTTTAAATGGGAGAGGGTACCTGCCTTAAAAAAATAAAACATCCAGGTCTTCTGACTCTGAGAGCAGCTGGCTTCCTGTCATACCATCATTTCCAAAAAGCATTCTACAATTCAGTCAGGGTAAGGGACAATTTTAGTAACCATGTACATATACTATATGGAGACGCCAAGACACTAACGCTTTCTTAGATTCGGAAGGAATCTACAGGAAAATGGGTCCCTTGTCCATATGCCCCACTTCACAATCTAACATGGACCAGAAACCATAGAATCAACCAATAGCAATCTCTTAAGACTCCCGTGACATTATACCTAGCTGGTTGAGATTTCGAAGAATTCTTTGATTAAAATGGGCTTCTTTACCAGAAAAGATTCGTATAAGCTTGTATGATACCATCCTCAAAAGGTGATACCCTTATGCCAGCATAAGGCTTTGCAAAGGGTAATTTTATCGCTTCTGAGCAATAATATTATAAATATTCTGCCATTCCTCTTCCTTAAGGATATTCTAGGCAACATCAAAGTATAAAGCAATAAACAGTCCTGTAATTTAAACTCTGTGGGTTGGTGGTAATTATTAGATGGTGTAAAGTTGTAAAAAATTTAATCTGAATATTCTTTTGATTAGTGCCACCTGAAAGCAACTCATATTAAGACTCACAGCAACCAAATGCTATGTTTTTGTTACCAAAAAGAGGATACTGATGTAAAATGCAGCATCCAAAGACATTAGATGTTCTGAGATTGCTAGTGCCAAGATTACAGGTTAACCTATCTATCCATCCATTTGTTTATTCATTAAGTATTTAGTCAGCTTCTGCTCCTGCCAGAATTTGTTAGGTACTAGGGTTACATACTTGCCCTTAAGAAGTTTATTTACAATGGGAGGAGTCGGGGGGATCTGCCAAATGGACATACAAATAAACAGAAAATTGCAACCCATTTTGATGGTGCAAACAGCAAGGGCTTTGGAACCAAGTAATCAGTTTGAATCCTGGCTCTGAAATAAACTTGCCTTGGACTTAGTACCTCTGAGCCCTTATCTATGAATTAAACATATTAGCTACAACTCATAATGTTACAAAGATTAAATAAGGTAACATAAAAACTCTAATATAGTATGGGACACATATTAGGTGCTCTGTCCAGTAAGTATTCTTTGAACATTATTTAATATAACCACCACTTTTGAGCCCCGAAACAATCTTACCTCTGAGACTGGGCTGGAGTGTTTCTGGAGGTGGTTCCCTTGACTTCTAGAGAAGAATAAGCATTTGATGGAATGGATTGTTGCACCAGATTTTCTTTTTCTGCCTCCTTGTAGTAAGTGTTGTCAACTACATGAGAGCAAAAACTAGTCAGCACTCAAATCCCAAGGAAATAAGTTGGAAATTATATATATATCTCAGAACTAGAGATTGAAATTTTTACATATATGTGTATATACATATAGACTTTCTCGTCAGTGGGATCTTTGGTTCCAGTGAAATCTTATGCAGACCAATTTATAATAGCTACTTTGGTTGAAGCAGAAACCAAGTATACAGGGCCCTGCCCATTTGCCAGCCTAAGGCACCACCTCAGAAAAAAACATCCCAAACACATCCACGTGAATTTTAAAACGACAAAATTTTGAAAGCTCCCAGAAAAAGAAATCACCTAAGATACAGGGAAAATAGGATAAGCTAAATTCCTCATCAGTGACACAGGATGGTAGAAGATAAAAGAACAATGCCTTCAGAGTAGTCAAAAAAATTTTTTTAATCTACAATTCTATATTAAGTCAAATGTTCAATTGTATGAAGATGGAATGATGACATTTCAGACATGTGAAAATGTAAAGTTTTCTCCTCCTGCACCTAATCTTAGGAAGTTCCCTGAGGATGTATTCCGTCAAAATGAGGGACAAAGAATACAAGAAAGAGTCTTCTAAGATCCAGGGAATAAGACAGCAAAGATATTAGAAGATATTAAGAAAAATAATGCCCTTCCTCAAAAAAGTAGGTATAACTTCCAAGGATCATTGTCCAGTATGAAGTGAGCTAAAATGTGACAAAAATTTAAGCAATTAATGAAGTTTTAAGAAAAGGGAATCTACCTGACCTTGATGTCAGGATCATCTTTATGTGGCCCAGGAGCTGTGATAATGTAACTGTGGAGAACCAAGAAGGAATGCACTTGCATCACACTAACTGATCTGGCATCACACAATATTTACATAATCATAATAATGTAAATATGGCGGATATAAACATATTATCAGATATTATGGGTATAACCACAATTTAAAATAGTAAGAGTTAAAAGATGTAGCACTTGAAGGGCCGGCTGAGTGGCTCAGTTGGTTAAGAGCTCGCTCAAGAGTTTGAGCTCTGAGCAACAGCGGTTCGATGCCCGGCCCAAGCTGAGCAAAAAAAAAAAAAAAAAAGATGTAGCAGTTGAGAAACGGAACTGGGTATAGGAATGAAAAGGGGAAGACGACATTTTATCATGAAGTATTCTGATGTTATAATAGCAAGGCCATCATGAAACAGAAACAGAAAAAAGTTCTATGAGAATATGTACTAAGAAAGGATCAAGTAAAGGCTGGAAGAAGAAACAGCATTTGATGGTAGCTTATGAAATCAGCCTTGATAAAAGAAAACTCTAAACATATGACAGGAAAAAAAAAAGGCTATGAAAATACATTTCACACATTTTTTTATTCCAGAGAACAATCATTTGGCTCATTCCCTCAAGTTTTTTTGGATAGAAGAAAAAGATATAGAAACAAAATGATGGCATTTTATGTCAAGAATATAACAGAGGTGGGCCGGCCGAGTGGCGCGATGGTTAAGAACTGGCTTGGGACGCCAGAGGGCCCCGGTTCGGATCCCACATATGAGGGCCAGTGACACTGCCCTCTTCAGCTAAGATGCTGAACAACAGCTCAACCTGGAGCTGGGCTGCTGTGAGTCGCCGGCGACGGCGTAGTCTGCAGCCCCTGTGGCAGTGGGTTGCCATGGGCTATCGTATGTAGCCAGCCGTGAGCGGCCAGCAGCCGCAGTGAGCGGCCGTCCAGAAGCCGGCGACTGATGTGCCTCGCCCGGGAAGCGCGCAATGATGGTGCCAACTTGTCTGTTCCCCTTCCCCCAATTCCCCAGCACTGTTCCCTTCCCCCCAATACCCCAATAAAAATCTTAAAAAAAAAAAAAAAGAATATAACAGAGGCACTCACCCCAATTAAAAGGCAGAGATGATTATATTAAATTTTTAAAAAGCAAGGTCAAAGTATATATTGCCTATAAAAAATGTACTTAAAATATACAATGCTAACACTAATCAAAATAAAGCCAGAGTGGTTATACTACTAGTATCAGACAAAGTAGATTTCAGAGCAAACAATATTACCAGAGATAAGGAAGATCATTTCAAAATGATAAAGTGGCCAATTCATCAAGATGACATAACAACCTAGATATTTATGCACCTAATAAAAGCTTCAAAATACATGAGGCAAAAACTACAAGGAGAAAAAGACAAATCCATAATTATAGTCTGAAATTTAAGACTTCTGTCTCTACTTGATACAAGAAGTAGACAGAAAAAGCAGTAAGAATATAACAGCCATAAATAATATATAAGTGAATGTGTATGGCTGTATTCCAATAAAACTTCATTTACAAAAATACGTTGCAGTCAATTCATCAAGATGTAACAATTATAAACATATATGTACCTAACAACAGAGCTCCAGATACATGAACAAAAACTGACAAAACTGAAGGGAGAAAGACAATTCAACAATAATAGCTGAATACTTCAATATCCCCACTTTCAATAATGGATAGAAATAAAGGATATTAGATAGATGATCAATAAGGAAATAGAAGACTTGAGCAACACTATCAACCAGCTTGACCCAACTGACATTTACGTAACTCTCCAGAATATACATTCTTTTGAAGTGCAGTCAGAACATTTACCAAGACAGACCTTATTCTGGGCCATGACACAAGACTCAATACATTTAAAAGGATTTAAGTCAGATAGCATGTTCTTTGACCACAACGGAATTAAATCCATCAAGAAATCAATAACAGAAAAGGTTTCTGGAACCCCTGCAAATATTTGTAAATTAAATAACACACTTCTAAATAACATGCTAAGTAATTTGCAACTAGTAGATAAGTCCTGGGGAGCTAATGCACAGCATAGAGCTTATTCTCAACAATACTGTATTATAAACTTCCAAGTTGCTTAAGAGTCTTAGATCTTAATTGTTCTCAAAACAAAAAAGAAATAATTATGTGATGTGATAGGTGTTAATCACATTGCAATATGTAAATATATAAAATCAACATGTTGTACTCCTTAAACTTATATGTTATATATCATTATATCTCAATTTTTAAAAAATGGGTCAAAGAAGATATCAAAAGGGAAATTAAAAGTATTTTGAATGGAATGAAAATGAAAACACAGCATACCAAATTTCTCAGATGCCACTACAGCAGTACTTAGGAGGAAATTTATAGCAGTAAACTCATTTAAAAAAAAGAAAGATCTCAAATCAGTGACTTCAGCTGCTACTTTAAAAAACTTAAAAAAAAAAAAACACACTGAACCCAAAGCAAGTAGAAGGGAAATTATAAAAAACACTGAAATGTACTCTTCAAATAGATGAATTGTATATATGAATTATAGCTGAATATAGCTAAGCTATCACTTTAAAAAAAATCATTTTCAAAGATTTATGACCTCTTAAAGAATGCCTCTTTTGTTCTGATCAAATAGACAATATTCCGCAGATTTAATAATCACCAGTTTAAATGTTAATCATCTTTTAAAATCAGAAACATGACTCAAAGAATTCTTGTACAATGGCAAGAAGTACCTTCTTCTCTCCTACTGTTTTGCTTCCCAGCCAGGCCCATAGAAGTTACCTTAAATCTTGTCATAAAAAGAAGACAGTTATGTATCTCACAATAAAATTCTATGTTAACTTAAGTTCCAAGAGAATATTAAAAAAGTGTAGCACATCGTTAGTTTCACATTGACCATGAAACGAATTAGCCCATTTCACCAATAATAAACCAAGGAATACAACATTTAGGTAATTCCCCAGATCCTCAAGCTCCTAATACACTGTCCCACTTTTCTGCCAAGGAGATGTTTTTCTAATATGGTCTCTCTTACCTGGTCTGAAAGGTGTGACAATAGCTTGCTGAGGATTAGCCTTCCTCAAAGGAGTCTTGTCCTGAAAAAGCCCTCCTGTACCATTCTTCCCAGGAAGTTTATTCTCCAAATTGGCCTTCTCCTCTGTGAAAAGGTTAAGAGTGTCATCATCTAAACAATCAGCAAGGAAGTAAAATAAGTCAGTGCCATGCACTTAAAATGGGGCTTCAACTCATTTGGCAAGTGCAAGCAAAGCTCTAGTGACAAAGGAAATGAGTACCCACTATACGTCAGAGACAGAGATGGTGAAAAGTATCTCTAAAACACTGGCAACACTGAACAATGTGCTATAGAAAAGGAGACGTGTAGGCTCTGTGTGCAGTGTGACTAGCTCCTTATCTTCGCTTGCTACACATTTAGGACCATCCAAGCATGAACTGGCCTTATCTACCACCTAAATACATCATGTTCCTTTTAAAGAAAACTGTAGCCACCAAGATCTTACAAGGGACATTTTATAGTCTGTCTGAGATGAGGTTCTTCCTCAACTGGGGTGGTGAGAGGGGAGTGTAGGGTGTGTGAGGATGGAACAGAGCTAGGCTCTCGCAAAGAATTTTATCTTAGGTTCTGCTGTGTCCGAAAGTCAGCACAAAGCAGTGAAACTCCTGTTCTACCAATAGCTTGAAAATAGACAAAAGGGTAAAAAAAAACGGTGGGCCTCAGCAATAACACTGCACATGTACACTAATTGCAACTCTGTAAAAAGATGTGATTATTTAGAATTAGAAAGTAATGTATTAGAGCTAAGGTGGCCTTGAAAAAATAGTGGGATTAATTTTTTTTCTTCCAAAATGTATTTAATAGTGTTGTTATACTAATATGTCCTCTTTTTTGTTTTAAAGAAAAACTTAGAGAGAGTCAGACAACCCAGCCATTTCCTCAGGGTTTCAGTGGAGCAAGTGCATGGGGAAAGCCCCTGTAGGGCAGTTGGTCCTCTTACCCGCCCTTCTCCCCACACCACTTCCTAGAGACCTCTCCTCTCAGGATCCCCAATGGATATCATCAAAGTGTTTTCCAAGAGAATGGCATATGCTGTCACATTTGGACACTCCATTATCAGTGATAAGTGCGGCTGCAATGGACTCATTTTTGTCCTCATCACATACCGACTTCTCTTAATAAGGAGGATAAGGTCATGAGAAAGAATAAAACAAAGGGGTCCCATCAACTACCAACTTGACGTATCACTGGTCTCACATATTATTCCAAAGTAATATAAAAACATAACCACATCCTTATTTAGTCTTGGCCTGGTGTCAGGGTTTGTGCCATTATCACATGACTCAACATCAGGCAATCCTCTCTCTGGGGATTGGGTTCTGAGGAGCATAGTCCCTCCATTTAAAAATGAAATGGGGGCCGGCCGAGTGGCGTGATGGTTAAGAACTGGCTTGGGATGCCAGAGGGCCCCGGTTCGGATCCCACATATGAGGGCCAGTGACACTGCCCTCTACAGCTAAGATGCTGAACAACAGCTCAACCTGGAGCTGGGCTGCTGTGAGTCGACGGCGTAGGCTGCAGCCCCTGTGGCGGTGGGTTGCCATGGGCTACCGTGTGTAGCCAGCAGCCAGTGTGAGTGGCCAGCAGCCGCAGTGAGCGGCCATCCAGAAGCCGGTGACTGATCTGCCTCGCCCGGGAAGAGCGCAATGATGGTGCCAACTTGGGCCAGTGAACCAACGTCCTCCACAACTAGACTGAAGAACAAAAAAAAAAAAAAACGACAGCAACTTGTCTGTTCCCCTTCCCCCAATTCCCCAATAAAAAAAATAAATAAAAAATAAAAATGAAATGGGATGGGGAGGGGAGCAAGAGGGAAGTGAGTGTGGTTCCAAAAGGGCCACACAAGGATCCTTGTGATGTTAGAGCTGTTCAATGTCTTGTCTGTGGTGGTGGATACATGAACCTACCAGGTGATAAAATTGCATACAACTTAATACACATAAATAAAACTGAGTACCTGTGAAATGGGAAATCTGAGTAAGGTGGGTAAATTGTATAATGTCAGTATCCTCGTTGTAGTATTATACTCATGGCCAGTGACAAGTAGAGCAAGTTTTTATGTGGCTGCCATCACTACAGACATGTTTTTGAGTCCTAAAGTTTCACTCAACTTTGTTTCATCATATTTCTAAGGAAATATGGGTTTCTAGATTTCCCCATATAATCCCTAAAGCTTAAATATTTGTCATTTTTAACTGCATAATAACATTGATTTGTACTTATAGTCCATTCCCCAAATACTGGGCACTTCAATTATTTCTCTCATATCATGGTGACAAAGTATGAGTATCTAAATGCAGACAGCTTGTAACCCCTTCTACAAAGCAAACCAATAACCCTTAAAATGGCCAGAGATAGCAGACACTTACCAAACCACGAGTCTACATTTTGGGTTTCTTCCTCATCATTCAAAGATGTAAAATTGATGAAGTCCATGGGAGCATCATAGGAATAAGAGGCTTTAACCTGTGACATTGTCCCTGCCTTCGCACAGAAGAGCCGGTTTTTCCCAGTATCTGTGTCACTTTTCTCAACAGGTCACCTTTCTAAGGAAAGAAATGGTTCAGAAACTTGGCTGCACATTAATCTAGGGTACTGATTACGTAGCAATTGCTTTGCTTTTACTACCATATTTGCAACTCTGAAAATCACCTGGACAATGTCTTATTTTTCAAATCAAACTAAAAGTGTCCTTTTGGGTAACTTGAAGACCTTCCTTGAGGTAGATATGTTGGAATTAGAAAGAGAAGTTTCATAAATACCTACAACATGCCATGCACTGTGCTAAATGTTTTACACTCATTATTTTATTTTCCCCTCTATCTACCATTTTCTTGCTTTTAGTTATCACCACATTTAATTTACTCTCTCTCTGCCCTAAATAACCCAATTTCTGAAACACACCATAAATTTTATACCTACCAACCAAAATGCTACTCATCATTCACAGTGCAATTCAATTCTCTATAAGCTCTTTTCCAATTTCTATCTATTATACATAATTGTTACCTCTCCAAAGCCACAGTGCTTTGTTTACCACCCAATTTTGTATTAGTCAACTATGCAAGTGTCGCTCCTAGTAGACTGTAAGTTCCTAAAGGATGGATTTTACTCACTTGTGTACACATTCATCCATCAAGCTGCATAAAACACTATCTTATACACAATAAGAGCCCAATACAGTTTTGTCAAGTACAGGCTTTCTTTCCTTATTTTCATAAAAACATTGTTCCTGCCATGAAGAAAAAGACTAAAAAATACATGAAAGGCACAACACACAGATTAGGTAAAAGGAACAAGTCAAAGATATGGGTCCATTCTACTCCTGGGTACCAAGTTCTACACTCCATCCTGTGGAAACCTGTGTAGGTTTAAAGTCAGCCCTCACTCCAGCCCTGTACGGTTAAGAAAACAGTTGGAAGTAGTGTGAAAACTAGCCTAAAGGCCACATTCACTGGCAGGCAATATCCTATGAAACCCAACGAGCCATTTGTTTTCATCCAGGGAACAACATGTACTAAACATATTCTGTATCTTGGAAGAGAAGTAGATATCAGTAGTCACTTGCATACATGTTTATTAAATTAAGTATCTTTCTTTAAGCCTTTATTTTATTATAAAAATACATGCTCATAAAAAAATTAGATTACAAAAAAGCTTTTATTGAAAAAATCTATAAGGCCATATACTTTCAAACTCTCTTCCCCATATATACTATGTAAACTTTTTTTAAATGAGATCGCTGACATTTTGCATCTGCTTCACATATTATAAGCATTTTCCATGTCAATAAGTAACAATATATCATCTATTGATGGCTGAGCCATAATTTACTTATCCCCTATTTTTAGGCTTTTCTCAATATTTTCACTTTAAAGATACCACTAGAAGAATATTTCTGTACATATCCAAAATTCTTCCCTTAAGATAAATTCTTAAAGATGGAATTGCTGGCTCTTGATATATACTGTGAAAATGTTCCTCAGAAAAGTAATACCCACTTACACTACCAGAGGTGTGCCAGTTCCCCAAACTGTCACCGATTCCGGGCACTAACAGTCATCAGTGCTCATTTTCTCTATATTATACCACTATACCTCCACTCTGAGAAAAACCACAAGATTAGTTACACCCAACCTCACCGCTGCTCAGTGCTCTGGGATTAGCTTCTCCCAGTGGCCTGGGACAATTCAGGAGGCACTTCAGTGCCTCAGAAACATTTGTTCTGATACAGATTTGGTTTCCATAGTGACATCAATCTATGCACCAGAGAACTTCATCTTCCCATGGTCTCCTATGAACTCACTGCAGTCATAACAATGCCCCAATGGAGGTACTTAGTGTAGAAATATGACATTTTGGAATTAGGAGGAAACTTAGATAACACCTAATATTTGCAGGTTATAGATAAGGATTAATTAATGCAAAAAGGGGCCCTCCATGATCACACAACAATAACACTAATCATCATGATAAAAAGTTACCAAAGGTGGCCCGGCCGAGTGGCGCGTTGGTTAAGAGCTGGCTTGGGATGCCAGAGGGCCCCGGTTCGGATCCCACATAGGATCCCACAGAGGCCAGTGACACTGCCCTCTACAGCTAAGATGCTGAACAACAGCTCAACCTGGAGCTGGGCTGCCATGAGTTGCCAGCGACAGCATAGGCTGCAACCCCCTGTGGCAGTGGGTAGCCATGGGCTACCATGTGTAGCCAGCAGCCAGCGTGAGCAGCCAGCAGCCGCAGTGAGCAGCCGTCCAGAAGCTGGCGACTGATCTGCCTCGCTGGGAAGAGCACAATGATACCAACATGGGCCAGTGAAGAGACGTCCTCCACAACTAGACTGAAGAACAAAAGGACAGCAACTTATCTGTTCCCCATCCCCCAATTCCCCAATAAAAATCTTTAAAAAATAAAGTTACCAAAGGTGCCATGGCAACACCATGAAGTACTAAATTCGTACAGTTCTAACACTCTCAACAATCCTGTAAAACAGCAATTATTATCCCCATCCTAGAAGATGAAGCTGAAGCTAAGAGAGATTAAATGCCTTGTCCAATATGGCAGTTATGTAAAGGCAGAGCTACGTCTAGAACTGAGGCTCCTGACTTCAGTACAACGTTCTGTCCTCTCACTCTGTGAATTAGAGAAGCATGTCAATGTAGTAAAGGGTTCTATTTTCACAGAAAATACTACTGTGTTTATTTCCAAGGAGAGCCATTCTCCATAGTCTTTTGCCCTGAATAGAGGATTCTTTATTATCCTCCTTCTAAATTTTTCACTCTCCCTCATTTCTACTTTCAAAATTTAATTTAACTCAATAAGCTATTTGTTAGCAGTCCACTCAGATTACACACTTACTAAAGGGCCAAACATGTGGGCTTGATCATGTTGAAGTTCCTGTCTCACTAATATTCAAGGATGAGATACTAAGTCTCATACAAAAAGAAGACAACACAAAGGAATTGAAAATCTAGACAGTAAAGTCCTATCACAATAAGATACTATACTATATTTAAATTATATAGTATGAACTGTAAGTATAAAGAGAATTAGAGATTAACATGGCTTAAATCAAGCCACAGTTAAATATTTAAATATTTTTCATTGAACATCAAAACAGTAGCAAGCAGTCAACTTATTGCCTGAGGAGCTCTTAGCCCAAGATCTAGCATAACAAAGGCCTTTGTGGAGTTAGGAGGACTGTAGTTCCTACTCCTTTCCTTGATTTGCATGTGTTCTGCAAGAGCCAGCTTCCCTAGAAGGAGAACTAAACCTGAAGCAGGGTGCTTATTATTATCAAGGCTATGGAGGAGAGACAGTGATAGTTTGGGCCAGGGTATAGATCATGGAGAAGTGAACAGATATGAGATAAATTTTAAAGGTAACCGTGAGAAGATTCAATGGCAGACTGGATACAGGTATGAAGGAAAATGAATTAGGAATAAATCCTAGCATTTCTTGGGTTGGAAGTTGAATGGATTGTGGTGCTATTGACTGAGACAGAGAGAACAAATAGAGAATGAGCTAAAACCAGGAGTTCTGTATAGCACCTGTACCTTCTGAGAGGACTATTGGATTTCAAGTATCCACTTGGATATCTAGTAGCTAATTGGAGAGATGACTGTAACTGAAGAGAGACACCTGGGTCAGATGTAACATTTTGATCTCCCGAGGTAATGCAGTCCAAACAGCAATGACCCAAGCATGATTTTCAGCCCCTGCTCTTTTTTAGTTCTCAGGCCCTGAAAGAGTCACTTCCTTCTCTCCATATTGATTGCACATCTGCTATTGTGCGGCACACAGCCACGGGCAAAAAGTTAAATCACAGGATCTATTTTCAAAGAGTTCAAGCTTTCCAAGGACACCAGGTATTGGGGAACTTAGTACCTAGTATGGGCGCCCTAGTAAAGATGTGGATCTCTGCTTCTCCAGCAAACGAAGAGTCTCAAGGAGTTGCCACTTCAGTTCTTTCTCAGTGTTGGTGGAATGCAGCTGTTTTAATTTTTGCTCTATAGCTAAAAGAGCACTATTTTATCAAGATGAATTGGTAGGCCCTGACCAGTTATTTCTGGAGACTGGCTGTTAGGCAATTCAAGTGCAACCAGATGAACTTGAATTTGATTATCCTGTTAGTCTCTGTGGAACCGTAACAGATTTTCTCTGATGGACTGTCATTCAATCCTGGCTTACCTATACACCAAGGAATCAACTGCTGAACTTCATTTGACGTGTATGGTTCTCAGCTCCTATATCGTTCCTAACAGCACTGAACTGAGCAGTATCTTTGTTGTACCCCCACCCCCACCTACTCAACAATAGTTCTTGGTACAGAACAGATACTGTGCGATATGTGGCTATGCCCACTTCAGAGAACACTGGTCAACATCTTTCTATGGACTACGCAATTACTCACTTCCAGGGAATTTCACCCAGCCTTTCACTTATGAAATCTAGAAGCTTGTGCCCTTGGACATTGAGCAGCAACACAGAAGTAGCCCAGTTTAATGACGCCATGTGACATTTTATTTTTATATATTTACATGATTTTAATTCATTTTGATCTATTGTAATGCCCTTCATGATGCCTTGGAGAAGAGGCCATTTGTGTTTTTAACTGTCAATGTGGACACAAATCCATGAATAAAACTTGACATACTTTGTTGTAAAAAAAAAACAAAAAACAGTAGGAAGCACACCATAATGAAAGTCACCTCCTTGATTGCCACCTTCCAAGCTTAGAGTAGCCACAGGACAGTTCTGGCCAATGAGAAAGAAGTAGAAATCTGCTGAGGGAGTCATAGGAAAACTCTTCCTTTCCTGGTATAGCTACAGCCCTTGTTCCTGTCCTTTCCCTTCACCCTTCTTCCTGCCTTGAAGGTAAATGTAATAGCTAGAGTTATAGCAGCCATTGTGTACACGAGTGGGCCAAGAGTATAACAGACATGGACCCTGAGATCACTGAGCTACTGATCATTAATGACCAAGGACCAGCAATCTTTTACGTCCAGACAGTAATGCTCTTTTTGTATAAGCCATTATACATTTT